AAGAGGCACAGGGCGAAAATGATCTACCAAAAAACAGTACATTGATAAGTATAGATAAGTATGAAATAAGTACGATAACTTTTTTCGTGTCTTGTTTATAAGTTATCTTGTAACCCGTCCAAGTCCCCTGACACTTATCCAAAGTTAGTAAACTTGTAACCTAGGTTATAGGGTTTGTAACCCTGGTTACAGCATTTGTAACTTGGGTTACAAAACAGGGAACCTGACAGTATATACATATGTGCATCTATGTACATACGTGCATGCATACGTGCGTACATATAATATACGTACTCACTTGCTTTTGTAATCTATATATACACATCTACATGCAGATGCACAGACATGTGCATGTGCCTTTGCGTATACATATACGCCTACAAAAATTTTCATGTACATCATACATATACGCAATACAGGTACATCAACTATACATACACATAATCATACATATGCGACTTGAAATGCCCACAGAGGAGTATACGTGTTTGCTTACCCTATATTTGTATATAGGTGCATGTATGCGTGCGCAAGTAAATATACAAAAACGAGCAATGTATAGCTTTTTATACATAAACATAAACCGAATATATATATATATATATATATACATATATATATATAGAGAGAGAGAGAGATGTGTGTGTGTATATATATATATATATGCGCACAATATTTGGACGTTAGATTCATTGGATGGACCGACCGATGGCTAGATAACTAGATAGCTGCACCGCTAGATAGGTAAGTAGATAGATAGGTAGATCCATGGCATAGAGATAGACAGATAGGTAGAGAGATATGTACCTTCACGATTGGGGCTTTTTCAACAGTACAGGAAAAAGATGGAACATCACAGCATATGGGCCAAATGCTGGGGAGACTATGGAAAGCTAAGAAAGACTAAAAGCAATGTCCAAGTAAAGTTAACCAGTTCCATGGCTCCTGGCCGATGGAGCAACAGTAAGCGAAACTTACAAAGCCGAATAAAACCAACACGAAACACAACTTGGACACTAGATCAGCAGTAAGGACAAAAATCCAAACACAAAGAACACCAACACAAACTAAGAGAAGCTAAAAACGCCGATGCGAAGCCATCAAACAAACTTACACCAAGCTAAAGAAAAGTACAAACGCTAGACAATCCTAAGTATTTCCTAGGTTTCGGATCTCCTCCTGGACGGCGTGTTTCACCTGCTAGCACGGATTCTAAGCAAAGGATATATGGTGGAAAAACTTAGGGCCCTTGCTCGTGGACTACCCGTGAAAAGCCTCCGACACGAGGTATATATGGGCATCTAAGAAGACAGGCAGGCAGATAGATAGATCGATCGGCAGCTTGACAGGCAGCCAGCTGGATGGATGGCTGGCTGGCTGGCTGGATAGATGCAAAGAGAGATAGAGAGATCTGACAGGCAGATTGGTAGATATGTACGCAGTTCGGTATGTAACAGTGTGTGTAGAGCTAGCTGTAGATCCATCCTTCTTTGACAACAAAAAATGCACCATTCCTCTACTGACGACCCTTCAGCGGATCTTAGGTCGACGACGGCCTGTACTTAAAGCTTCGAAGCCCTCAACCCTCCACCTGAGTCCTCTGAACCTTAAACCAAGCTCTAGAAGTCCTGGATGCCTAATAGAACCCCTAAAACCTCTACAGGAAATCTTCGCAGCCCGCTGGGGACTACTCGTAATTATACAAAGCCCAGTAAGAAACCCATGAGGCTAAGCAACCATAAACCCTAAACCCTAAACCCTAAATCCTACACCCTAAACCCGAAACCCTATCGCAACCCTTCGTCTCTCAGAGCAACCGACGAGCTGGCACCTCCTTGCACCGCTCGGTGGACGTCCTCCAGTATCCGTGGGTTGGCCTCGTACATGGCATTCAGCTGCTGCAGGTTCTTCTCCTGTTTTAGCGTTCAGCCCTAAAGCCTAAACCCTAAAC